CGTAATGACTCACAACGTGGTCTGTTTGCAACAGGCACCGCCTATTGCTGAATCGCACAGCAGGCGAAGCATCACCTACTGCTGAAGCAAGAGAAGAACTCTCTTCGGCTTCACGCATGCGTGCAGCCGCCTTTTCTGCTGGCTCAGCAGCACATCTCATGGACTTTGACACCATGCGATGAACTGGCAAATGAGCTAGAATTTGACCATCAAGTGCTCCCCTTGTCGGAGTGATCCAACGGTGTTCACCCGTGTCCTATTAAGTAAAATTTAATCAACGGGTGATTGATGGATAAGGGGGGTTGTGTAACGGGAGAGCCCGTTACATTATATTGACACAAATCAGTGTCAATAGGGATATTGTCTCGCATGACAATATTTTACCAATACTATCAGAGATAAATGGATAAAATTGATGGAAAATTATCCCCTTTGTAGGATAATAAAAATACACTGCTCAAAGATTGGTTGATGTAGACATATCAACCAAGGTTACCACCAATCGCTGCCAGACGCGCGTAATGAGTGGTGACCAGGTTATCGTTAAACGACAATGCAGATTAATGTAGTAGTTAGATAAAGACTGAAGTTATGTTGATAGCTTAACTACGTTAAATACAGTTCTGTTTTTACCATGTAATCAAACGATTTGTTTAAATCGATTAGCTTTCTCTGCACGTACTAGCGTATGTGATGTTTCGCGTCATCCCGAACAAAGGGTTACCCGTTACAACTACTCCGAATATTTAAGTCTAGGCCTTTTCTGTTGACAAGAGTTGCACATTTGTAAATTACGGTATTGATATATGCTATTGATTGCATAGAAATTATGAAAATGAAAGTTGGACCCAAAACATTGCTTTTGAATATTGTAAAAAATCAGCATCAGTCATTTAATATAGACGGTATAGAAATGCTACGGCAAGCAGATTTACCAAAGCAAATTTCCTGTGCTGCGACTAAGTACGCTGTTGTATGAAGAACAAACTTTACAATTGGTTGTGGGGTACACAACATTTTCAGCTTCTCAAAGCGGAGTGTGACATTCAAAAACTGGTAGATTCAGATCCCTTTCGAATTCGCATGTGCCAAAGGATTGCGATCCAATACAAAACGCCGATAACGCAAAGATTTCTGTTTTCTTAGTGTTGAGGTAGATAGAGTTAGATATAAGGTATGTGTCTCGGCATAGAATACAAGAATGCGTCATAAAATGTAAAAATCAGCGTCTCAAAACAATTGAAAACCTGTACAAGTGCCATAATCGTAATGAGGTGCTGACACTTTGGTCGGAAGATTTCCGGAACGACTCAGACACAGCTGGTGTGGATGACCTAGGATTGAGTTTGCTGCTCGAAATTGATGGTGCAATAAGATTCCTGGCTTCATTTATGACCTATGCGCCAACGTAGATAATCGGCATCGAGAAGGCCGGGTTGTATGCCGGAGTGATGGCGATGGGAGCGGTGACACGGTAGACGATGAAGATGGTCCATCAGCAAAGATTATGCGGACGATGTACCTCCTGTTAGAGAGACAAAAATTCTTTCAATGACCCTGGTGATGACGCAGATGATACGGGCATACCGCTTTTTGCTGACAACTTACAGAGTCCTGTATGGTGGTTGAAGAAAAAATAGAAAGCGGAGTCTACCATTTGCCCAGTGACATATGTAACGGTAGTTTAAAAACAAAAGATAACCAATACGAAATGCTACTGGGACTAAGATTATTGTGAAACACCGTTGGAACAGCTGAAAGAGCCTCGGAAATTTAATTACAGTGGAAAGTATCAAAAGACGCTTCTGTGTAACTTTATGTTTCGAGAATTACAGCGTGTATTAACTTGTGCACATAAAATAAACAAAACGAAAAACGTATAACATATTAAAAGGTTTTTAAGATACCACAGAAAATCAGGAATGCGTGCATGATTGTGCGTTCTACAAAGTTTGTCGTCCTAAGATTCATTTAATTGAGGGTGTTATTAAAAAATGCAGATAAATTACAACCTCCGGACGATCGGAGGTTTCAAGACCAACCGGGGCGAAGATATCATTAATAATGACTGCCTAAACGTTTTTGCAGGAAGTAAACCCAGGTCTCTATTAGTTGTCCCAGTACCTTACCGGTGACCTAATCTCTCTTCTACAAACATAAAGCTCTCAGAGTCAACTACAGCTCCTCATTGTTAGTCTTAGTCCTCAACGGTGGACCTGATCACTCTCCAATAAGCACTGATACCTCAGGGTCGACCTCGGTTCTTTTAAGGTCCAGCTAATCTTGTTCAGTCGAACCGAAAATCAAAATTAGAGATAGGCAAGTACAGAGTAAGGAAATATAAAGTCAAGGAAAATATGGATTATAACTCATTTTATGTGCGGCCTACGTGGCACGACTTCGCCGCACCTTAAGTATCTTAATAAGTCTGTACACCTGTTCTGCAAAATGAACTTATTTAGCCCCCCAGGTTGTAGATAGCCGTATCTGGAAAGCTATGATTGCAAATAGAATCTCAAGACGAATTTGCTCAGTGTATTTTCCTAAAGAATTAACTTAAAGATTCTTTATTTTTAAGAGAATTTCAACTTAGCGTATTTAAAGCAACGTTGAGAACATCTAGATATTACCACTAATCTAACCAAGTTCAAGTCCGGGTATGACAATTTTTCTGAATAATTTTGAAATTGTAACCACTCTCGACGATTCAACTGAGTGGCTACCTACTGGCCCATTAAGTGAAGCACTTCCATCCGAGTTCCCAGATCCATCTTTTTCTAAGAGATATCTACATCATCACTCATTTCGTCCTACGCGTACGACTTAAAATTCGACGGTTAAGTAAGGTGATGCAAGGTCCATATGTGGCGTTGGGTACCCCGTTTGTTGATTAGCAGGCCGACACAGTGATTATTATAGAACTTACTACGCAGGTTAAAGAAAGTACTTCTTTACAATGATGCTTATCTTCGGAAGACGCAAATTTTCACCACGAAGCTTTTAAAATTAGAGATTTATGTGTCAAGATTGAGCGAAAAACGTAACATTCACTGAAAGTCCTATCTTTCGGGACAAAAGAAAAAAATGCAAAGGATCGAAGGTTTCATTGATATACAAGAGGGGCCCGATCAATGTGTATTGACTAAAATTACAGAAGAGAAACATATATATTTATCCTGTGTAATCGTAAAGATTATACTGGGATAGGATATCTTTCAAGATCCAATGGATCAACGGCCGACATTGGAAGAAGGAGGCTAAGGTTTCCAAGACAAAATAAAAATTTGCGACATCCGAGCCGGTAAAGTTCATAATGAACAATCTGAATACTAAAACTTCCGTAGGATCCGACAATTAAAACTTGACACCAAATCTGTCGACCTTAAGACGTTGTAGTTGTCGATCTGGTAGAACGCTGATGTAAAGATGGCTTATTATCGACGCAAATATTGTGGGAGTGTTTTCCAAAAAACGTGGTGATCACCTAATACACTTACTGGGACGGATTGCCGACTAGCAGGAAGATGGGGGGGTCCTTCGATTCCGTGTATAACCCTCAGCTCACATTTTGAAATTGATGTCGAGTAAATTGCACTCTTCGGTGGACTCAGACGGGGAGGGAGGTGTTTCGGTCTTGAGAGAGGTAGGCCTGCAGACTCTAGTTGTTGTGTCTTACTAAAAAGGCCAGTGTGAAGCCACTTTATCGACTTGGTGGTACGTGATACTGTAAAAAAAATTTCAGATATGTTGTCACTCTTGGCATTTCCTTGCTCAATACCGCTGGGTAGTTACGCAGTTTCTGATAGCTGCTTTTGGGAAAAAGGGTTCCTGATCGAAGATTCTACGTAACGAATAGTTCCTGAGGTTCTACTCGCGTTTGTTCTTACCTAGCAACTGTTTTTAACGGTAGTAGGCAGATTAATCCCTTTCTTAAAAAGGCGAGCAGACTTAACAAACTCTTTTTTGAGCACTACAAAGACGTGCCACATTGATCACAGATTGAGTAGATTCTGATCTTAATCTATAATGATATTATTATTCGTAATTATTTCTTTCTGCTATGACTCTTTACGTGTGGCAATTCAGAAGAAGATGTACCTGAAAGTACTAAGGCATACAGATGAAAGTACCGGGCCCACTATAAGGTAACGGGTCTTTTCATGTGAGACTGGCCCATTAAAAAAGGTTCGTAGTAATCCTCTTTTCATACTGCTCAACAGATATCTGGGCTACGGTCTTCTCATCGATTGTTCATGTGTTCCCTTTTCGTCGAAGGGGCTTATCATCTTTTGTGGCCTTTTTCTCTCAGGCATCTTTGCTTGTAAAGTTGTTTCTTGTGCTATCATCACTATGAGCGGGTAAAATATTTTTCAAAGCACTACCACATTTCCGGAGAATGATCCTGTGACTCGAACCTCAAGATCCGGCTTTTTCGTTTGTTAAGTAAACCAGTGTTAGTCCCTCCAACGCTGCAGACAGTGTAACGGGGTGACCCGTTACATAACAATTTATAAGAAATTGCTAATAGAATATAACTATAAGAGTTATATTCACAGAATATTGTCAAAAGGACAAATATTCTGTAGCACTTACGAGTAGTTCCTAATTGGTTGATATAGGCCATTATATCAACCAACGAAGACGCGCCACGGCAGACGCACGCAATGAGTGGTGAGCAGATAGTTGATATACACATATTTGTATTCAGACATAGTTAGATGAGGATAAACAGTGATTTATTAACAGACATTAGCTATGATAAATACAGTTTTACTTTTTACTTTAACCAAGTACTCGCTTCTTCTTACCGTCTTCCTCTGCACGTACCAGCGTACGTGACATTCCGAGGCACCGCCTTATTCTGTCGTCAGAATAAGTAGCTTGTACTGTCATCCGAATAAGTAGCTTGTACTGTCATCAGTACAAGCTTCAGGGTGCCCCGTTACACCTGGTAGCACTTCGTAGTCCGTCCAAGGACCACTTTCACATCTAACCTGAACATGTCAGATGATGAAGATGACCAAAGCTTTCACGCTACGCGTGACGGCTACCCCTATTTGAGCGATGTAGAATGGGATGCGGTTGAACGAACGGGTTCAACCATGGGCATCCATGCTGTTAGCGTCATGCTAGAGGCTCTCAATAGAGATGCCCAACATGCTACTATCGTCAAGTTCATTTTGAATGAACTTGACGCAGAACGCGAGAAAGTAGCCTTGCTTCACCAACAAGGTTCTCAACAAGCAGAGTTGTTGAGAGAACAGGGTGCTCAACAGTTTGAACTGTTGAGACAGCAGCAGGCTGCTGCTGGTTGGTCGATGCACTCGCGTCGACCCGAAACCTTGAAGATTGACATCTCCAAGTACAGGGGAGTCAAAGAGGACTCCCTCTTGAGATGGTTCGTCGAATTGGATGACGCCACAAGGGCGCGTCGCATCGACGATGGGGAAATGCAAGTCGCATTTGCCCAGTCAAATCTGGCAGGACGTGCCAAGACTTGGGCACTGGGGCTCAAGTTGCACGACCCATATGCGTTTGGGTCGTTGGAAGTCTTCAAGTCGCAGCTCAGACAAACGTTTGAACCGCCATGAACTGAGTTCAGAGCTCGAACCGAACTCTTGAAGCTCAAACAAGGTAAGCGTGATATGCACGCTTACGCGCAACATATACGCCATCTTACGAGTTGTATAAGTTCCAATCCGGTGGATGAACACACGTTGGTTTCGGTGTTCATGCAGGGTCTTGCGGATGGTCCCGTCAAGACTCACCTGTTCCGACTTGAACTAGATTCACTAGAACAAGCCATTTCCATTGCGGAACAGGAAGACTTCAGTCTGAGACAGGCTCGCGCCAGCTCGACATCATATCGTCAACCGAGACGATATGACAACGGAGGTCCAGAGCCGATGGAACTCTGTTATGTAGAGAGCGAGAAGGCTCGCTCTACACACTACAAGAAGTTGCAGAAATGCAACAGATGTCAAAAGACAGGACACTACGCTTACGAGTGTAGTGCCCCTCGTCCAGTGTCTCGCAACACTGGGCGTAGTGACCGTCCACCCATGAGAAAGGGGCAGGGACGAGGGTTCTCTGTTGGTGCAAAGACGCAACAACGGGATGGACCGTCAGAAAACGGACAGGATCAGTAGGTGCGGAGCACCCTACTGGTCCAGCAACGTCAAGAGAATTTGTAGGCCTCTTGATGAAGGTTGCTCCCAACACACAAACATTGTGCGTTGCTGCTCTAGGTAATGAGATCTCAATCATTACCTTGAAACTCGAAGTGACAAATAAGTTGTTCCTTCGAGCTCTAGTCGATTGTGGGGCGTCCAACAATTTTGTGCAACGCCAATCGCTAGAAGATGGTCACTTTAAGTTCAGTGAATGTGACACACCTCCTACGAGGATGACGGTACGTCTTGCGACAGGCGCATCCGTAACCGTCATGAAGCGTATAGTGAAGATCCACTATACGCTAGAAGATACCCAATATGACGATGACTTTATCGTATTTGATTTGGATGACAAATTTGATGTCATCCTTGGAATACCGTGGCTCAGAAGGTACGAACCACGGGTAAACTGGCAACATCGAACAGTAACGATGCCTGCCGCTTGTTCGTTAGATGGCCATCTGATGAACGTTTTGGAGCGTCCACAAGCGTGTGGATGTACTATGAGTGAGTGCGATGGCCTCACTTGTGGTACGGTCGTTAGTACGACTGCACAAAACCTTAGTGTAACAAGCGGTTACACTTCGGAGCAAAGTTCCGGCGGCTGTGAGAAACCACAGGCTGCGCCGAAGGTCCACCACTCGAATAAGTCGAGTGGACCGGGACAAAGATGTATCCCTAGCGTGGAACATCTAGAAGAGAAACAATCGATCGCTCAGGTTAAGCGAAACGATAATCCTAGATCGACTGGAGAGTCTTTCGTAGAGGATATCGCTGTGGTTGCGCAGCCACAGCTAGACGAAGTAAAGGGAATAAGTCCCGATATTACAAATACGGTGGAAATAAGGTCCATGAAAATCGAAGGAATAAGTTCCCGGGAAGCCGAAGGAATAAGTCCTTCGAGGCCTGAGGGAATAAGTCCCCAGGAAACTACAAAGACATTGAATGTCATAGTCAATAACGGATCAAGTGTAGCGCTTATACACTTGATCTGATTGCGCCTCCGAAGTTGACTTCGGAGATCACTCAGTTGCCAACACTCGAACGTAAAAGATTCTTGCGTGATCTGCGTAGTGGCAAAGTCAAGCAGATCTGCGTACTCGTCGCTGACGACGAGTGTGTAGCCGACATAAGGTCAGCAACAGTGTTTACTGAGAACGAGAGAGTTCTCAGTAGTTCATCGATGGACGAAAGTGTCCTAGATGAAAAGACACGAATTGAGCGATATGACTCCCAATCGTGGGAATCGCTCAAGACAAATCCTCTCTATGAAGATTTGGTTGAATTCAAGGATGTATTCCCTGAAACTGTTCCGTGCGAATTACCGAAGAATAAAGGTGTTCGACACGAGGTCGAGCTTAAACCAGGCTCGAAGTACTGTGTCATGAAGCAGTGGCCACTGCCTCGTGAACAAGTACTTGCGATCGACAAGTTCTTTGCCGATCGTTTAGCTGCGGGCCAAGTGAGGGAATCAACTTACCCACATAGCTCTCCGACCTTCTGTGTGCGAAAAGCAACAGGAGGGTGGCGGATAGTGCACGCGTTCAACAAATTGAACGCTGCAACGGTACCGGCTCAGACGCCGATACCGAGGAAGGACGTAATCATTGATGGTATGTCAAAGAGCACCATCTTTTCGTCCATGGATTTGATGGATGGCTTCTATCAAATCCTTATGCGGGAACGGGATATACCCTATACCGCAGTTAGCACGCCTAGCGGCATGCTCTGGGAATGGCTAGTAATGCCACAAGGGCTTAGTAAAGCCCCTGCCACGTTCAACAGATGTGATACACATCTGTTGAGACCAGTACGAGAATTCGAGCCTAGTTATTTCGATGACGTATTCATCCATAGACGGGCTGTGGATGGAAAGTCGGACGTTGAGGTTCACAGATACCGCGCACGACAGGTTCTTACAATCATGCGAAAGCATCAATTGTATGCAAACCTCAAGAAGTGTGTATTTGCAGCAAGCGAAATACCACTTCTTGGGTGCGTCTTTGGTAAGAACGGTGTACGCCCTGATCCCGAAAAGATCAAGGAGATCATCGACTGGCCTGTGTCAGTTGATGTCAAAGGTCTTCGAAAATTCCTTGGGCTAGCGGCGTATTTGCATAAGTATTCACGCAATTACGCCGAGATGACTGTACACCTCTCTCGTTTGTTGAAAAGGAACGAGAGGTGGTTATGGAACGCTGAATGTCAGCGCTCCTTTGATGGTATCAAGCAGAGCTTGATACAATCCCCAGTCCTAGCAATAGGCGATCAAGACAGGACATTTCATGTGGTCTGTGATGCCAGCGATTTCGCAATCGGCTGTGCATTAATGCAGTACGACCTAGAAGGCGTTGAACGCGTCGTCTGCTATCAGTCGCGTCAGCTTCAACCAGCTGAGCGGAGCTATCCAGTGCATGACAAGGAACTCCTTGCCATGAAGTATGCACTCGCGAAGTTCAGAGTCTATCTATTAGGAGATAGACCCTTCATTGTTTACACTGACCATGCGTCATTACGCACGGCAGTGAACAGCCCGCACCTTTCACAACGAATGGCGCGGTGGTTGTCATTCTTTGCGGAATACAACCTTACGGTCGAGTACAAACCAGGACGACTTAATGTCGTCGCTGATGCACTCTCACGTCGTTCCGACTTTAAAACAGTCATTAAACGCAACATTGACACAGCCACTGTTGCGGTTATGACGTCACCCATACCATCTTCAACGTAATATGATGATGTGAGGCGGGAATATGCCTAAGATGGTGAGATTGTGAAGTTGTTGACACATCTCTCACAACCATCTCGAGAATCGTTGAAACGATTGTCGTCTGCGTATCGATCTGCATCAGATCGATACACTACTCGTAACGGTTTGCTGTATTATACAGCCGTCTCTGGTGACACACCACGTGTTTTCATTCCAGATGATACTGATCTGCGTTTGCGGATCATGTTCGAGTATCACGATGCTCCTATAGGAGGACATCGTGGCCGAGAGAAAACATATCTCACGGTAAGTCGAGACTTTTACTGGACCCGCCAGTATCAGTTTGTGCGAAAGTATGTCCGCGCATGCGAAGTCTGTCAACGAGTGAAGTCAAGTCCTTCACTGCGTGCACCTTTACAGCCTCTACCAGTTCCAGCTGAGTGCTGGGAATCCATCTCAATGGATTTCGTCTTCGGGTTACCCAAAGACGCACGCGGGAATACGGGTATTCTCGTATTTGTTGACAGATTCAGCAAAATGGTACACCTCGTGGCTGTACCAGAGACAATCACGGCAAGTGGCTGTGCTTGTGTCTTTATTGACACCATCTTCCGACTTCATAAGTTGCCCCGTGAACTCGTATCAGACAGAGATCCACGATTCACTGCTGATTTCTGGCGTTCCGTGTCCAAATCACTCGGAACGCGCTTGAAGATGTCGACATCTGATCATCCAGAGTCAGATGGTCAGACGGAACGTGCCAATCGTGTCCTTGAAGAGATACTTCGAGGATACGTACACTCCTTTAAGAGTTGGAGTGAGTTTTTGCCAATGGTAGAGTTTGCCATCAGCAACTCGGTGCATGCGTCCACGACACATACAATACGCTTGCGCCATCCGCGTGTACCCACCCTACTAGAGTGTAACTCTGGTTTAAGCGAAGGAGAGAATCGCACGAGCAAAAACCGATTTGGTCCACGCTCATCACGCTCTGACGAAGAGGTCATTGCGTTTAATGCCGATATCGATAACATCGATATCGAAGAAGATGATGCCAGTGAGAGAGCGGAAGCCCTCACTGAAGAAAGGATTCATGTTGCTGCAGTGCACTCACAGCGCACTGAAGCTAACGAGTCATCAGATGAGTTCATACTGGCTCGTGAAACGGTAGTCCGTTTTGTGCAAGACTCCATCGCCGAAGCGGTGGATAAGCAAAAGCAAAACGCAGACAAGAATGGAAGGACAAACACTCTTTTATTTAATAAAGGTGACTTAGTCCTACTGTCTACGGTTAATCTACCAAAGCATGTAGTGACTAACTCGGGTAGCAGTAAACTACTACCCAAGTACATCGGACCATTTCGTGTATTGCACCGCCTAGGCAATGCATACACGATCGAGTTACCACGTAAGATGCGAACGCATCCCACGTTTTACGTTGGACGGCTTAAGCCGTACCATCAGTACGCTGCTTCTTCCGATGAAGAACGCCCTTGCGCTTAAGCATCTCGCAGAGAGCCTTGTGCTCCCGATGGTGGGCATCAACAAGGGTCTGAAGAGCAGCTATCTCAGCCCGAGACCGGTCAATATCCACACGAGCTACCCTTAGCTCGTCACGAAGAGATGTCAGAGATCTCTCGTTCTCAAGCTGAGCAAAGGCAAACTCAGCTCGATGCTTCGAGGAAGTGTCCGCCAGTCGGAGACGCCTATTCCGCTCATGTTCGAGATCGTTGCGTGACTCTTGCGTTACGCGAGCAAAGAAGCTCTCGGGAACACACCGATCCACATGATCGTGTGGAGAGCGTCTTTCCTCCTCCTTCACCTCCATTAGAGGACTCTCGCGGTGGCCAGCGCTATCTGGTTGAGCAGCTGTTGAGCCACCGCGATGAGAAAGGACGTCGGACGAGTTACCTCGTCCAGTGGCGCGGTTATCCCCCGTCCTGGGATACTTGGGAGCCCCGCTACCAACTGATGATTGACGTACTGGGTCTGGTTGAGCAGTACGACGCGGCACATCCTGTGCCGCAGAAGGACCGCCGGAGAAAGTCATCCCGGCACGGTCGTAAAGGGATTTCAGGTTGTCAATCCCTTCGTACATCTCACTAGAGATACGTACGCGCCACCACGGGCTATTAGGGAGGTAAGCCTCCCTAGGTGCGCGCGCTGAGTTGTTCACACAACAAGAGCAAGGATCTACCCAGGAAAGACAGGCTAACCCACCCTCCTTAGACGGACGATGCAGCTTATAGCGTGCACCTGTCGGGGTTCGCTATTCAAAATTATCACGAGCTTTGATAAGTTTGTCGTTTAAACGTCACGACCTACATCCTCAAGGTTATGGATGTAGGCGTTCCACGCTTGAAGCAGTGAGGGACCATCACGCTTGTGATTCCCACTGTACCATCGATGTCTAAAGAAAGCATCGATGAAGAATTCGTTCTCAGCGCGATAGTTTTTCGCGCTGGGGTCAAGGTGATGGATCCTTGACGAATCGAACAATCGTGTTCGATAACGATCACTCGTCGTCGCCGACAAGTGATCCATGACAGATTTTGGAGGCATCCATGCCTTCTTCTCGGGAGCGAGACGCAAGACATTGCGATCCCGCTCTTCCTGCGATGTGCCGACAGAAGTACTGGCATCTCGTTGCGAATCGGTGTCCATAGGAGAACCGACACCACTGTTAGCGCCCGAGTCTCGCGACCTCGAGCGCCTTCGCTTTGGCGATGGTTCATCTGATTCATCAGATGTACCAAAGATGCTGCGACGCATAGCATCATCCATGCTACGCTTGGCAGGCGGCTTGGATTCGATCGCCGTCGATACGGATCCGTCTTCCGTATCAGGAGAGTACGAGACACCGAGCTCGTACTCTGTGAAGGCATGAGTGTCTTCATGACCAGCGCCTGCATCACCAAGTGACACAGGCTGAGTCGCTTCAGCAACCGATGAGACATCAGTTGCTGCGGTTTCTGCTTCGGCGTCCGCACAGAGACGTGCGGACGCGCTCTCGGCTGCCTTGTTCGCGCACCGCATGGGCTTGTTTACTATGCGACGAAATTAATGGACTGTGGACTCGGACCAACAAGTGCAAACCCTGTCCCAAATGATTTGGGACGAGTATCCATTTAGTCAATCAGTCACTAAAGTGACTGATGGTTAAGGGGGGGTGATGTAACGGGGTGAATCGTCACATAGGAATTTATAAGAAATTGTTAATAGAATATAACTAAAAGAGTTATATTCTCAGAATATTGTCATAAGGACAAATATTCTGTAGCACTTACGAGTAGTTCCTAATTGGTTGATATAGGCCATTATATCAACCAACGAAGACGCGCCACGACAGACGCACGCAATGAGTAGTGAGCAGATAGTTGATTTACACATTTGTATTTAGACATAGTTAGATGAAGATAAATAGTGATTTATTGCAGACATTAGCTATGATAAATACAGTTTTACTTTTTACTTTAACCAAGTACTCGCTTCTTCTTACCGTCTTCCTCTGCACGTACCAGCGTACGTGACATTCCGAGGCACCGCCTTATTCTGTCGTCAGAATAAGTAGCTTGTACTGTCATCAGAATAAGTAGCTTGTACTATCATCAGTACAAGCTTCAGGGTGCCCCGTTACAGACAGCATCAGTCGTTATTTCCGCGTTCGTCACTTTCATTCAAGATCAGAAATGACCGCGTCGAATTCCAGCCGAACGACTTTTTTGCCTTAAGGTTCCAAAATCTTTATTCAGAGACCGGGAAACTACTGTAGAGTCTGATGATTCTCGTCAGAACAAACTTCGAAAAATGCAACGTATCCATTGCGACTAACGTGGGGAAACCGTCGAGCGACAGCCAAAGACGCTATAATACATCGAGGCCAGCACCAAACGCAAACGATTACCCTGTACCCAGGGTCGATAGACAATATGCCGCGTGAAATCCCGCCGTCATTTTCTACTGCGGAGCAGTCGTACCTGGTTCGCTGGTTACTATCCACGTAAGTCGGATGCCACGAGTGCCTTACGATAGGTGTTCAGTTAATTCATGATTGAGCGAGGAACACAGAGCAAGGCCATCAAACTCACCGAACGGCGACGAGTGGACAACCAACGAAAACCAAAATCTTGATCGAATAAATTTTCTGCAAATGTAAAGTCGTTGTGGAGAGACACAATACTTTAAATCGCCACCAAAAGAACAAGCTGGGTGATGAAGCGCCTCCTAAAGCTGCAGGAAATTTGCAGACAAACTTCGACGCGGCGATATGAAGCGCTCTTTATAAATGCCAAGTTTTCGAGACACAACACTGAGATGTTAAGCGGAGAGAGGTAGATTAGGAGCGCACCATGTCATCAAACGGCTGACGAAACGTTCAACTAAATGCTCTTAAAGTGGGTCTTCAAATTGCGATTATAAAATCTGCAAAGGTAAAAATTCTGGAATTTAGTGATTACGCACGAAAATACTTACCACTTGTAGGCTTAAAATCGACGATCGAAAATCATTGCTATGGAAGACCGATATCTTCAGCGCCATGGCTCGTTAATGTCCGGTTTTAAAAGCACTATTTTAATATGAGGTATGTTTACTCTATCCATCCCTAAATCGGATGTGAAGACAACAATTCCAGATGTGTAGAAACACTCAATAGCAGAAATAATGCAGCAGGGTTTATACGTCATTGTGGCCTCGATCACATTCTGAGTATATCAAAGGATGGGCTTCCGCCGAGTCCCGAATTACAATTGCCACTTCTTGCGCCGGCTTAAAATCTAAGCAAATTTAATATTGCTGATACGCTATTCCGGACACAATCGTATCGAGATCATTTCCCACAGCGACCGTCGGTGCCGAATATAAAATTATGGATAAATTTTTGATCAAAATATATAGTCAGGAGATACGATCCCGGTGTGACCAGCCCTCAAATCTCTCCATCAAGGATTTGCTGCGTTCAGTGCCGTGATATGTTCAAATTTTGCCAACTTAGGGTTACATTCTAACGAGGAGGGTGGGCTGCGTTCCACTAAATATGGTAAAGGGTATTCCTTCCAATTGATAATTTCCTCAATAAAATCGATGTCTAATTTGCCATATTAGTCAAGATAGATTGTCTTGATGACCAAGAGCCGAGCGAAAAAAAGATCGGGGTACACAATCCTGATATACGGGGATCCATGTATGCGATACAACTTGCCGCCATGCAGATTAACTTAATCTGCGTGCGATAACAGCTATGAAACTAGTATCTAATTATTTCTGAAAATTTTTGTAAGACATGAGAGCCAATAGCTGATCTCTGGAATAGAATCAAGTTCAATACATTGAACGTGACTGGGTAGCAAATATTGTTTGAATCGAAGCATTAAAATCTTATTGTAATCATGGATTGTCGACAACAAACGGGACTAAAGGCGACCAGTCTAAAGGCGGATAAGACGTTGCAGACATTCTACGATAAGCTAAAGAAAATGATCCTGAAAAGCCGCAAGAGTCATTCCTCAATAAACATGATAATCTTTCGTCCCCGGATGACATCAGATCTGAATGTCATCTGTCTTTCATCCACGAATCGAAAAAGGCGCCGATCTTTTAAAGTCTTAAATCAGTGGGGTGTGAAGTCCAGCTGGAACAGAACCATATAAAAATTTAGGAAAGGTTGGCGCATGTCACGGTAAATTATTATTTTAAGGTTGAATACGAAGACACCCACGAATATTAAGAGTGGCTTTACGTGTCATTTAATTAGTCTGTAAGCGGCCTACCCCGACTCTCATCTGAAGACAGAGAGAGACTATAAAGTCACCAATTTGCCATGAAAATCCGCAAGCAAATGTGAAACAGAACGTATTGATCATGATCAAAGCCAGTTTCTTCAGCTGGGCACGCAGCTGTTACGAAGTAGAATTTCATTTGTACGGAGTCTTGTATTTGATCACACTTTGTGAAATTGTCAGCCAGACAAATATTTATTTGGTCATGTTACACCTGAAGTGCCTCGGAACGTTCTAAAGCTCGGCGTTGTTTTCCAGAACGCTGAAACCAAATTTATGTAAAGCGAAGTCTTGGTTTTGGCCTCGTAAAGACGATCGGTCTGCGCGAATTAATGTTCGATACAAGCCGATCGTCCGAGACATCCAAGTCTTACCTTGTTCTAAAGACTTCGCGATAGAACTTCTCTTGCGTACAATGGCGCACTTGAATATTCTTCAAAGCAGCCGACTCCAGGTCTGCAATATCCGACTTATGATCGAGACAAGCCATCAAGTTTCTCTCGAATATTGACTTAAAATTCATAACCTCTACCTTGCACGAGATGCGTGGAGAAACGTACTTTTACTAAAAAAGATTGAGTAACTAGATTAGCTGGGCGGTGAGAATATACAGCTTCTTCACTAGTTAAAGGTGGATGCTTTTCTTTTTGTCTAGTGTGTCTTTTGGGCTGCGGTGGGAACACACTACCCTTTTTTACATATTCAACTAAATTTTAAATGAAAAAATCGCAATCGTGATGGTGGCACGGCACGACACATGAATTTTTCACGCGAATAATCGAGATCGAAAATAGACTTCTTCGTGCTGAAGGCGAATCATCTGTTGTTGGTCATTACAATAATTGGAGTTGGGAACTAATATGGAGAAGCAAAGGAACTTTTACTTTTGTTTCACCTACGTCACTTCTATGAAAACGCATAAGGTAACTTAATTTCATTTCACCGATGTCACTTCTCGTGTTTGGATAGGAAGGACCTATGTTTAGTGTCTCCAAGAGCCAAAGTAGGGACAATTAAGACTTCTGGACTAACGACCAGGTTAGCAGGCACTGAGGGTAGGATCGTGAAACACGATCCGTGGTCGGGTACCTCTGACCCTGAGTACTGGCAGGTACAGAAGTTAAAGGATTAGTTATATGGACCGAAGGCGCACTTAGATTGCCACAGTCGAACGGTAGCTGAACACCTAAATTAGTACACTATCTCGACTAACGTTTTAGTGGACTTTGCGGTTATTTTATAAATGTATTGAAAGTGGCGCACAAGGTGGAATCACACGAGCTAGGTACTTTAGTTGATTCCGCAGTGACCCATAATTTTTAGATTTGAGATTTCACAGGTGGCTAAAGAGCCTCAAATACAAGATCAAGTGGATTTATTGAATCCAGCGATCACGCTGAAGCAAAAACAGAACTTTAAAATGCCCAGAGAGATACATAGTTGTTGAATTCCTAATTTTCGACATGTAGAGCGCAATTGCATAGAAATCCCAGTGTGAGAATAGGGAACAAATGTGTTATAATTACAAAATCTGCAATGAAACATTAGTCAGAATAGAGATGTGGAGAATGTAGCAAAGGATTAAAGAAGACGAGGTAGACTACTTGCCGCAATCAACGATATGTGACCTACAACCCTGCGTTGAGGAAATTGGAAGGTGTTCTGTGGAAAACATAACTGGTGCGAATTACACACGGGGTGTTTAACACTCCACGTGGGCAGATTACGTGCCAATTTTTCGCGACTTTCAACCTTATAAGTAAAATTTACTCGATTCGCAACCGTCCAAAGATGATTTCTCGAATCTTTGTCGACTAGATACTAGCTAAGCACCACAAATTGCTTGTTTTAACTCCAGGCATGGGGATGCATGCCAAGATCCGCAATCTGATTAACTGATGATCTGTGATCTTGCAAAGTTGAGAGTAAAAGACTTCAGGTGGAATACAAAAAATCGTTTTCTATAAGCATCAAGCACGTACAATTCTGGGTGTGCGGACTACATGTCACTATTATTTACAAATTAAAAATTTCGCGGGGCACAATCTAATTATTCGCGATCTACGATTATGTGTCTTGCTATCCGGAAATAACAAACTAGCCGGTTTTGCAACTTCTAATTATCAAAGGTTACAAGGGTTGAACAATCATAAAGGAACGACGCGGGGCATCACACTAAAGACTTGGATAGACATTGACATATATGTTGGTTCTTACTTGTATCACATGAAACAGTGTTTAAGTAAATACTGAAGAAAC